CGTATACATAGTCAACCAGCCCTGCCAGTCCTTAGCCAAGGCCTTATTAAACTGTCTGTCTGCAGCAGGGGAATCTTTGTAAATACCAAAGTCCAAGATTATCTCAGGTTTAAATATTATTACATCATAAAGACAAGAAAAAAGGGGATTTTTAGCGCATTGGAAAACGGGAGAATTGATTTTGATAAATTTGTGGTAACTTTTAAGAATGCAGGGTATATCTTTGATTTGCCAATATTTAGAAGATCTAGTTAGATCAGACAGTTCGTGAAGCTTGGCCAGAAGAGGGTGAGGAGATAGTTGCGCCACCTTGTACAAAAATCTATCAGCGAGAAACTGCCTTCTTAAAAAGAGAGGGGTTCCACACACTCAACCTGGAGAGCATTTATTGGTGTAGACTTCATGGCTCCTATGATGAGACGGAGACACTTTGATTGGATTTTGTCCCACAAATTGAGGGCAGTTTTATGACACGGTTCCAATAAAAACGAGCCGTAGTCAAAGTGACTACGGATTATGGCATTGTACAATATTTTTTGACAGAATGGGTGGGAACCCCACCAAGTGCCTGACAGGGAGCGGAGAATATTAATGTTAGTCTCACACTTTTTGGCAATAAAGTTTAAATGAGGGACGCCCGTCAATTTGGAATCTAGTATGAGCCCCAGAAATTTGAAATTGTCAAAGATTGTTATACGCTGGTCTAGGATATTGACTGGAACTTGTGGGGTAAACTTTTTCCGGGAAAAAACCACTACACCACTTTTAGGGGCAGACAAAGAAAGACCATGGTCAGTTAGCCAATCGCCTAAGTACTGTAAAGCAGTATTCAGACGGAGACCGATGTCATCCAGTGACGAGCCGTGGGCATAAATAGTCAGATCATCAGCATATTGGAGGATACTACAAAAACCGCTCACTGATCTCTCCAGATCATACGTATAAATATTGTACAGCAAAGGACTGAGAACAGATCCTTGCGGAAGACCCCTCCAGACGCTCCTTGATGCGACAAAGTTTCCTTGGAAACGAAACAAGCATGTCCTACACGAGAAGAGATTAAAAATGAAATTGGTCAATCTTACCGGGATGCTCAGCTGATGCATTTTTTGCCTGAGCAGGGGAAGAATCACACTATCATAAGCAGCGGAAATATCCAAGAAAACACCAATCAGAGACTCATTCTTTGAGAAGGCCAGGCGAATATCAGAGACCAGGAGGCTTATGCTATCCATAGTGCCGCTACCCTTCCTAAAACCAAACTGGCTTTTAGCTAAAATATCTCTATTTTCCAAGAGCCACTCCAACCGATTTTTAATAAGATGTTCCATGATTTTCGCTAGGGTAGAGGATAACGCAATGGGACGATAGTTGGAAGAGTCTGTAGCATTTTTGCCTGGTTTCAAAATAGGGATAACCACATGCGTCTTCCATTCCTCCGGAGGACACCCTGAGAGGAATATGGAGTTAATAATTTCTAAAAATGTCATCTTAGCAGAAGTCCTCGCATTTTTCAAGAAGGAATATGGTATTCCATCTACTCCTGGGGAGGAGTCCTTAAGTTGGTCCAAAACTAGGAGCAGTTCTGAGAACGAGAATGGGTCATTCATACGATCTGGAGAAGCCAAGGCGGCAGCAAATGCAGAAGCCTCCTCTTGACTGGGGACCCATGGAGGGCATAGCTTGTTCACAAAACCATCGAGCCAACATGAAGGATCGAAGCTGGAGGGATCGTTATTGCGTTGAGAACAGCGAAATCTTTTGATGTTTTTCCAAATGATAGAAGGAGGAGAGCGGGGTGAAATGGTTTCGCAAAACCGCAACCAACCAGATTTTTTCTTCTCTGAAAGAAGCCGTTTGGCTTGGGCCGCTGCATTCTGGTAGTGTAAAAAGTTATTTGTGGTCATAGAGCTGTTATACTGGGTTTCAGCTTCTTTTCGTTTAGTAACAATAGTAGTACACTCGTGATCCCACCATGGAGGGGAGGAGATTAGGCTCCGAGGTGAGTTTTTAAGGGGGATAGAGGCCATTGCGGAAGAATTTATTGATGCTACAAATCTGGAATAGGTTTCTTGAAGAGATAAATCCCCAACACTGGGCAGGGACTGTAGCTCTAAATCCAGACATTGACCATACTTGTCCCAGTCAGCCTTAGAGGTGTTAAATTTTAATAGAGAAGAGTGTTGCTTCGATGGAGTGCAGCTGCTTGTTACAGAAACGAGTATGGGGAAATGATCACTTCCGAAAGTATATGGAAGAGTCCTCCAAGAAGAACTGGGCACTAGGCTTGGAGAGCACAAAGTAATGTCCACAGCTCGTCTTGTATCCTGGAGAGGGAAAGATCTACGTGTCGGAGATCCATCGTTGAGGAAACATATATTAAACTCATCAAAGATGTCTAATAAAAGATAGGAGAATGTGTCATTTTTATAGGAACCCCAAGCAGTGTGGTGACTATTAAAGTCCCCAAAGATCATGAGAGGGGAGGTAATACTAGAAAACAATAGATTAAGCTCAGGAATGAGGGAGTGATGTGGGTGGGGAATATAGACAGACATGAATGAGATATTAAAAGCCCTGACTGCAACAGCATTAATTTCATTAGTATTGTGGTCAGGGAGGGAAATTTTATGGAAAATAATTGAGTGTTTTATTAAGATTAGAGTACCTGCGTACCCATCTGCACGATCCTCTCGGACACATGTATAGCCCGGGATACGGAAAAAGGATCCCGGAACCAGCCACGTCTCCAAGAGGACGATGATAACGGGTTTATATTTATTTATAAGGTATATGAGATCAGGTTTTTTAGGTCTAACACTCCGACAGTTCCACTGCAGAAGGTACAGATCCATTGTAAAATTTATTGACGATAGGGGAAAGTTTATTAAGCACGTGGGACGGTAAATCAGTGTCATCAAAACGGGATAAGATATTTAAAAGTGTAGAAAGTAGTAAATCGAGGAAGTTGTCATTATCTGGTGTATTAGACCTATTTAATAAGGCGGAGCCGTTAGGTAAAGAGGAAGAGGGAGTTGCGATTAATTCCATGTGGGTTTGGTTGTCATAGCCTGAGGTTTGGTGGGGTGGCTTTGGTTTCTGGTTTATTGTTACGGTTTTTCTATATGAAGTGGTGGCTGGACGGGAGGGTTGTGGAAAGGACAATGAGTCAGATGGTATATGTGTGGATGTAGATGCAACGTCGGCGAAAGACCGTCTGACGGCCGGGAAGCGAACAGAGGCTTCTAAGTAAGAGACTTTTTCTTGAGACATCACAAGCTTTATTGACTTTTGCCTTGATAGTTCGGGGCAGTTTTTGTCGTTAGATTGGTGCAAAGCTGAACAGTACAAACATGTTGGGGTGGTTACACTACATGTTTCCCCAGAGTGGGGTTGGGCACATTTATAGCACCGAGGTTTGGACCGACATTGAGCTTTGACGTGGCCAAAGCGGCAGCATTTCAAGCATTGGATGGTGGGGAGGAGATAGCTTTCCACAGGGAGAGAGGAGTAAAACAAGTAAACATGCTGTGGCAAGGACTGGCCAGAGAAAGTGACTACGACTGATTGAGTGGGGATCCACTCAGTAGTATCATTGTGTGACACCTTTCTATTTAGACGGCGGGCTTTAATGATATCACCAGTTCCTGAAGGTAAGACTAGGCTCTCTACTAGTTCGTCCATTGTGAGGTCATTTGGTATACCTCTGATTACTCCCATGCGGGTAATTATGTGGGTGGGGATGATAGCCTTGTAGTCCGCCTGACCGAGGATTGGATTTTGTACAAAATTGTTTGCTTCATGTGCTGAAGCAAATTGCATTGACAGCCTATTGCGACCAACAGCCTTCAGGCTGCCATTTATAATATTTTTAATTTTATTTTTGAATAGAAATTGGCCAAACTTGACAGGTCTTAGTGTTAAACCACTATCTGGGGCAGACTCCAAACGTGAGACTTGAACTACAAATGGACCTTTATCATTAGTAGAATAAATTTTCTTTTCCTTGGCATTGGGGTGCGTATAAATGGTTTGTATAGATGCCGATGGGGTTACAAATTCAGTAACGAGTTTTTTTGGGGTACTGTTATCAGTTTCTGCTATACAGCTTTTCCGTTTACTACCAGATATTGTAGGAGTAATCGACGTAAAAAGGTCGGGGGATGGCGGCAGCGGCCCCGACTCCCCGGATATATCCGGAGGGTCAGTACCGCCTCCTTCAACCTCCATATCAGACATAAAACTACATATAATTTACCTTCACCACGCAAAACACACACAACACAATAAACGGCACGCACAGATATGGGAAATCTACAGAAATAAACAAATTCGCAGTTCAGAGAGTAAGAAAAGGGTCAACAAAATCTTTAGCAAAAAAAAGAGCACGTGTATCTTCCAATCACTCTGACCGAATCTACTATAAGGTCACAGGCAATAATATCACCCAAAATGTTAAAACTAGTTTTGTGTCTAAATTTATACATAATGGGAACGGGCGTGAATTATATGTATATGTTATAGGGAATGTATATAATCCGGTATTCTATACAATGCCGAACGTGCTTTGTTAAATGTAGGTGCACCATAAATATAGGAAAAAAGAACATTTTATGCACGTCCTGTCACAACAGTGTATCATCTTGTAAGAATAAATAGGTAATTAGAAGAATTGGTATATATTAGAAGAATTGCTATAATCCTCATGCTCTTCGAAGAAGCAGTAGACCTCCTTGTGAAAGAATTCGTCCTGCGAAGTGCTGCTACCTATTTTTGCCGCCAAGCAGTAATGTGAACATTACTGCGTTCCGTTTTTGAAGGGTAAGGGAAATTACACGCACATGGGGCTTGTCAACTTATGTCGCAGGGCGCAGTGGCATTGCCCCTAATGTCTTTGCTCCACTTGGTATCATAAAAAAATGTTTAGGGCCCTAGCTCCACTATTACTGAAGTTAAAAAATCTGTTTTCTGCCCGATTTCATTGTTCGAGAGTGTAGTTACAAATCTTCTTTTCCCAGAATCCTCTCCGACTCCTCTTAAGCCTGCCAGGGCTAACGGGGATATCGATGCTAATTTTGACAACGTGCATGGGTGTGATGTCTTCCCGGCCGATCCGCCGCCGACTGTACAACGTCTTTTGGTACACTCACCAGTTGTATTTGCCGTTTATGGTGTTACTAATAGTTCATCCATTGAGGTAAGTATTAGCAAGTATTATACTGCATTCTCAATAATACTGTGAAGAAATCCGAATAATAACAGTTTTGGGAAACTCACAAAACAGATTTAAAAAAAAAGCGTAGTACCTACATGGAACCAGTTCCACTACGCTTTGGCTGGCCAAATATGCCATGATGGTTGTTTGAAAAACGAACTTTTGTAAATTTATTTGCTTGGGTTGTTATTTCTGTTTTGTTGTATTCAAACATAGTACAGATAATTCTCTAGTTAAAGACCAGGTAATTTGGTGTGGTTCTCTAGCACATTATTATTGAATACTTTGGTTTTCGCGATTGTTATACATTGGAAAAGAAACTGTTTATTTTTCGGATCTAAATCGCGTACATTTATTTTTTCAAACAAATCTATTGATCGAGTCAGCCGCTACCATGGAACCGGTAAAGGGCCTGTGAAGGTGAAGGTGTGCACGAAAGGAGCTTCCCAGCACGACGTACCATTCCAGTGCGTCTACTGGCGTACCCTGGGCGACAATCGGCGATAACCTTACACAGATTGGCAAATCCTTTCATCACGGTAGAAAGTGTTATAGTGTATGCCATCGATACTATAAGAGAGCGGGCCTGAAACGTTGGTTTGTTTGAAAAACAAATACACATGATTTAGACCCGAAGAAAACATACATTTCCAATTATTATTATTGTTAGTTATTGTATCTAAATAATATTATTGTTTCAATTTGAATTGACGATGTTTTGACAATGTTCTTTAATAACTTTATGTTATCATTTATTGCACAATAAAAATTCAAATCACATTTAATGAAAGGAAAACACAAACAAAATGTACTGCTATTTGAAAAGAATGTAATGTGGTAATATCGTTTAAAGATTACTGTTTTCTTACGAGTCCTGTCTTGTAGCTAATATAATGTAAATAACAGAGTGTGAGTCATTTTCATGCAGTTTTTGCGTAACCATAAATTCGTACAGGTCAAGGTGAACTCACTGTTTTGTTGCAGCGGAGTTTTAAAGGAGGAGGCTTTGAAACCAAATGGAATATATTCTAGTCAAGTCCATTCGAGTAGCAACTTTACCAAAGCGCCTACGTTCGTACCTATTAAGTCTAAGGTAAGTAAAAAAAATCCTTGTATCTTGCCTCTCCTCGTGTATAGGTATGTAATTTTTGCCATAACTAAGACATACGATTTTATTTAGCTTTCAAAAGCGAATATTTTCCAATAAAGGTATTTCTTACCTATTTTATATGTGAATATATCTGAATAGAACGTGTTACGCCCGAGGTACAAGCTCAAGGTGTAAAATAGTATAAATCTAAAATACGTTGTCTTGAAAAATTTGGAGTAGGATACTTTGGTATTTGTAGGTAGTTAATAATGGTAAGCGATTAAGGCGCATTCAAATTAGACCCCTGTACCTAGACGCGCTGCAGTGGCGCGTCAGTTAAAAGGTTCTAGTGTAAACGATTGAAATACTTCAAATCTAAGATGTTTTTTCCATACGTTTCCATTTAACACGGAATTATAATTATGTAAGAAAATGACCCATTTAAAAAAATGTAACTGTAGAAATAAATGTCATGTGGATCGTTACAATCTGCATGAAATGCATTAGTTTTTCTGCTACAGGGGCACCTTTCTGTGGTACATTTTATTTGGCGAGCTTCTCTTGAAAAGAATACAATTTTGTTTCTTGAAAAAAAATTGTTCATTAAAGGGTTATTTGCAATTGCCATAATTGGCTAAGACATTTTATGAAAGGAGTTCTGTTGATAAGATACATTATTACACCTCAGAAACATAAAAAAAAATATTTGTGATTTTTTTAGGAGTTCACTTAGAGATTTTTGTTTTTAACCATCATATCATCATATAACTTTTGAACCATCAACTTCCGAAGTCCCAATAGTGGTCAAATCGATTGGAAATGCTCAACCCTATCTCATCGTTTTGATTATCACTTCCGGACCGCCCCGTATATAACATTAGCTGTATCTAGTATTAGATACGCTCATGTCCACTTAAATCACTGCAGCTCGTTGTCCCATGTGGTAGAGATAAACAGAAATTACATTGCATGCTAATAAGTTGGCAATTGTGTTCGCTAATAATGCAAAATATCTTATTGTAACAAATCATGCTCAATGTATTACAAACTTTTAAATTGCTTTAAATATTGTAATGTCATTCAGATGATTACGTAGATAATATGTTTGCCATACCTACCATACAATGGTTTACAACCGAGCATCCAATCTGAGAGCAAGAAAATTTTAAGAAAATGCGAAAACCCTTTACTTTTGTTTTCTTACATACATACATACTTATAAAATACATTATCTTGTAAAATAGGTAATGTTCAAAACTTCCTTTTACTATTCATTAGCATTTTATAAAAACAATAATATGATAATACTGTTTACAAACCTTATAATGCTATGTACAGACAGCAGCACATCAAGCTATTGACGTCCAGCTGATTGTACATAACGAAAAATAATATAATAAATGAAATGTTTTGTAAATCTTGTAGCAATAGAACTCCTTGTGAAAGAGTTCGCCCAGGGAAGTACTGCCACATTACCTATTTCTGCCGCCAAGCAGTAATGTTAGCATTACTGTGTTCCGGTTATGAAAGGTAAGGGTGCTGGTCAAATTACAGCCACATGGGACTTGTCAGCTTATGTCTCAAGGTGACGGGCGCAGTGGAAGTGCCCCTCAGATCTTTACGATCTAAAGCTCTGAGTGGCATTGCAACTGTCATGGATAGGCGTGTCGCTTACCATCAGGCGGATGACTTGTTTGCCCCGTCACCTGGTATTATAAAAAAGAGAGAATTAGATTATTTTAAGTAAAGCTCAATGCTTTAGCGATAACTACAACCAACGTCAACACCGATGATGCGACACTGGCGATGATCGCGATAATTTTTATATTATTCTTGTAAAACTAAAACACACAAGCCTAGTGGCCGCCATAAAGGAAATAATAATAATAATAACTCTGTGAGTTTCGTTCCAGTCAGAACGCGGTGCATAATAGATTGAATAACACGGGCAGAATATCGAACATTAACGTTTTTTATGTAAAAACTTGACGAATTTCCAAAAACGATTGTTGTTTGTCCTCTTCGGCATTGTTCTAGAAACACGATATACAGGCTGTCCCATGGCTATACCATACGGAGGGAAATTACTTTAAATGCCGTAGATTGAAAATTTTACTGAAAGATGAGTTCATTTTGATTTTAAAAATAATTCGAACTGCATTCAAATATTTTTAAATAATCGCCAGTCTGAACCGGGAATCGTACACGCCAAATGAGAAAATAAAACCACATGTAATTTTACTAAGTCTACTGATTGAAAGCTTCAATCACAGGGATTGTTTTCTTCTAAATAACATAGCATCTTATATAAAAGGAAGACCATGAAATTCAACATTTAATTTGAAATTTTGTTCAGGAATAATTTTCCTGTAAAAGATTTAGTTTACAGAAACCGGTATAATAGTGTGCAAGAGTTACAAACTGACCTAGTATTTTCAACGTTCACCATGAAAGATAAATAAATCAACAGGAAGCGAAAATCAAAAGAGGGAGAATTTGTATAAGTACTACTGAATGGGACACATTTTGAGCACTTGATAACTTGAATTGATATATTAAGTTGCAGTTAAGTGCACCTAGTTATTTTAGTTAAATGTTTAATTTCATGGTCTTTCTTTTATTTAAGATGCTATGTTATTTAGAAGAAAACGATCTTTGTGATTGAGGCTTTCGACCAGTAAAGTAAAATTACAGGCATTCTTTTTTTCACACTTGGCGGGTGCGATTCCCGGTTCCGACAGGTGATTCCTTAAAAATCTTCGAATGCAGTACGAATTGTTTTTAAAATCAAAATGATGTCTTACTTTCACTCCATGTGGCATAGCCGTGTGACGCCTTGTATATATCAGGCAAGTACGCTTCGCAGTTACTGTCTCAACATATAATAACTGCCTCTGTGGCCGAACGGTTATCATGACTGCCACGCAGAAGCCCCAGGTTCGATTCCCGGGCCGGGAGAAATATTTGTATGGCTTACATTTATTTATCTTGTGAGTTTGGGTGTAAATTGTGGTTGTCAATGTGTGTGTCCATGGCACCCGCGACACAGGGTTTCCTTAATTCGGGGCCATGTTGAGTGTGTGCGTTATTTATTAATTAACCTTCTTCAAAAAAAGGAGGAGGTTCTCAATTCGACTGTATGTTCTTTTTTCTTTTTTTTTGTATGTATGTTACGCGATAACTCCGGTATTTGTGAACCGATTTTCATGATTATTTTTTTGTTGGAATGAGTGTACCTCCTTAGTAGTCCCATTTAATTTTGAAGATAATCATCCACCTCTTAGGGTGGCTGTTCACGCAAGAAGATTCATTTTTATAAATAGCGCCTAAATTTTATTATAAGGAGCAATTATTTTAATGCTTGATTTTGCTATTCTCCAATTCAAGGCGTTTTTCTCTCTCAATATACTTTGAGTAGTGAGAACCGATTTTTATTATCTCCTGTGTCAAGTCCCGTATAGTGGCGAACTAAGGGAAGAATCCGGGTTTGCGCACTTTCCGGTAACCGATTTCAATAAAACTTGGTAATTATATGTAATTCCACGTACTTTCAAGGTTGGTTTTTTTAGTACTCTGTAATGAGATTATTTATTTATTTTATTTATATTCATCTTAATATCGTCAACCAGGTTCAGCACCATAGTGTGCTAGTGAGACCATAACTAAAGCACACCTATAGTACGGACGCCACTCTGAAGCGGTTTAACTGGTAGGGTCCATCCTATAGCCACTAGGCTAATGAAACTTAACGTAGTTTTATCAGATATTCCAAATAATAAAAACGTGAAAAGTTTTTGTGAGACGTATTTCGTAAAACACGTTAAAAATACGAATTCATTTCATCATTTTTTTTTTCTTTATGATGAAAACAGAATAAACAAGTGAATTATGGGGCTCGAAATACGATGGACTACTATAGCTATGTAAAAAGAAAAAATACAAAGTTCCGCCAAATCTTTATTTTTCAATACGTTCGTCTACGCAAAAATTAGTTTTATTCGATTGTTATTAGAATTTGAACAAACAGTTTATGAAACTATCCCGTATATTTTTTTAATATGTAATTGTATAATTATGAATAGTAACCGTAAGCGCTTTAGGCCGACAACATTCCGATCCAAGCTGAATTTTACAGGTAAATGAGATCCTAAGTGCTAGGACGTTGTGTAGCAATTAATACGAATAATTATGAAATTCCTCCAACCGTCAGTTAAAGCGTTACGATGCCCACAAAGACAAATTTGTGAGAAATCTGTGACGAATTTCAACTTTATTGTCTTGATGATTTTCACGTTGTTTCCAGCTGCTTACTTTATCAAATCACCCTTAAACGATTAACATCTAATTCATGATTTGACTTTAATTGTGTACAACCAACAGCTGTGTTCAATTGTCTCTAAATATATATACGTATAGCCCACAAGTACACTGCGCAAAAAAGATGAAGGAACATCTATTTAATTTTTAGAGCACTCTAAATTCATTACGACGACACAGGGCTGTTGTAGCCAACTACGGTTGTAGGCAAGTACTGTATCTTAATTAAAATATAAATAACCAATGTTTTTTCGCATATTATTTAAAAAACGAAATACAGATATTTTTATGTGTACTGAAAATATAAAGTGCAAAATAGTATATTTTCACATTAGTTATTTAAAATACAAAATACAATCATGACCACGAAAGTATTTCAAATATCAATTATAAAATACATTTTTATAAAATAATAACAATAATAATAACGCACACACTCATAGCCGCGTATTAGGGAAACCCTGTATCGCGAGGAAACTCTATGGTTTCCAAAAACAAGCCTGTGCTTGTCTATACAACCACAACTCGAAGTATTGAGTGCATAATTCCGGTCCTTGAAAACTTTTCTCTACAACCCTGTGTTTAACTGAGCTCTAGTTTTATTACTCTTCCGTATCGGTTTAACTATTATGAGTCCGGCCTTCGGTGTTATTTCTTCATTCACGAACATTTTTGGATACGGCCCTATGAATACATCGTAATAGTTTGTCGTTTGCCGACTTTAACAATGAGTCTATGATAGAATAGGATGTATACATATATAGGCTTTGTCATGGATCGTAAACATACCCACGACTTTATTTTGCTTCAACTGTGCTCAAAATCAGATTTTCTGATGTGCTCTTAATTTTATTCTGATTTTCAGACATGGTTGTGGATGGCAATGCCTCTCAGTTGTTTCTTCCTCGATCTCATTTGGCGAATACTGTCTCGGAACCGGGCTAGAGTGGATGTTATACAGGTAAAAATTATTTTGTGATTTTCTACACATCGTACACGTCTGTCGCAGCGACTGTAAAAGGCCTGATGGTATGACTGTCAGCCCATTTGAACTAGGTTAGTGTAAGATGCAGCACGCTGATTCGCTTCCGTGACTACGTTAGTATGGATGTCGTGGTCTCAGCTACCAGAGCAGCCAACAATAGCAAAAGCCTCAAATACCTTGATCTCAGCCAGTACTACAGTTTCCCAGAAATCAATACTATTCACATTCTATTTTTTTGTTATTGTGGCTGCGATTTGCCTTTACAAAGATAATTAAGGTGTTAGGTGCCGTGTGAAGTCGATTTGAGGTTATAAATTTATACACCTAATTATTTACATTTTTCAATTCGGTAGAATTATCATGCTATATTTGTCCCACTTTAGATAACTCGTATGTCTGGTCGAACAATCAGCTTGACCCTGAGCTGTCCTGACGAAGAGTTTCAATGTCGTCCAGGGCAGTACGTGCTGTTGCAATGTCCATATATATCTCTATTGGAGTGGCATCCTTTCACAGCTGTTGTGGTAAGTGATACCATCGGAATGCTAACAGTTATTGATTAGAAATGGAAAAATATTTACTTATCAGGACGATTCGAAGTGACTACTAAACTTGATCCGGATTTTTTGGTGGGACTAGGTAATCCTTAAACATGAACAGATGACTGAACGTATAGCGTGAGTATCTATGCAAGTAAACTGCAATGTTAAATGTGTTGATAATACTAATAAGAATCCGAAAAAAGCATCGAAGAAAGTCGTTATTATCGCCTATAGTTACCATCATGGAGCTATATTTTACAGATACCCACATCCAATCGAAGAAATTTTACGCTTTGGATAAGAGTCAAAGGTGACTGGACTGAATCTTTAGAGAATTTACTTTTCTTGAAACGGCCGGATGAAGTTAGGTAAGACCACTTGTTGTAATTCTCCTTCTAGGGATCGGAATAAAATAATATTGTAACAGGATCCATTAAGTTGAAAATTCTTAATGAGGGATCCCAATTAACTCTAGAGCGCATATTATATCAATTCACTGTGTGATTCTAGTCAGTGGAGCCCAATGCAATAAGGGTTTTATTCTTATCCATCACAGTCAACCTTAGTCTAAGTCAAGCCGTTTAATCGTTAAGCTACTTTCAAAGGAATGAAACAATAAGATAAAACAGTAAATTTTCAGTTTAGGTACCGGCTTACTCAATACTTAATACTGTTTTCTTCATTTAATTACAAAGCTAGTAACAATAGTTAAGCCGTGTTTTGATAGGGAAACCCTGTCTTTAGAGACCAAAGAAAGTTAGTCATGTCGCCTTTGTTTTGTTCACCGCTGTTCATCCCGCACAAATACCTATAAATCGCTGATTGAAGTGCTTTAAAGAAAATTGAATCGGTTATAAAGAGTAATTAACTATATATAATACTTTTAAAGAGTATCCAAGTTGGTACTTGTCTGAACATGTGTGACATCTTAAGCACTTTAAAAAGACCTTTAAATACCCTAAAAATAAAGCCAAACCGGTTCTTTTATCTAAATACTTTACATTTACTGTCGTATGTTATTTGTAATGACATCTGTACTGTTTTCAGCATGTTGGTAGATGGACCATTTGCCAGTCCGATGCAGAATGCCCGTCGCTGTCGTGTAGCCCTCTGTGTGGCAGCTGGAGTCGGTATCACACCTTTTGTGGCAATGCTGCGTGATATGTTACGGTTAGTATTCTCCAAGAGTATCTATAGTGTATTAAAACGCTTTTCAGTGATAATACCTTGTTAATTTATATATATCTAATACTTGTTGTCAGCGCAGTTTCCACTAGCCTTTCGCTTAATAACGTTCTAGAAATCGTTAGGAACGGTAGACCAAGTTTATTGACACCTTACATTGTTTACTCACAGTTTCTTCAGATCACAAGCATAAGCTGCCATGTTAATGCCTCACTGTTTTCAGGGAGCCTTTCATTCGAGAGTCCTTAGAAAGTAACATAGCGAAATTACGATTACGAAATCCCGATTATATTAAACGCAACATTTAATCTCTTGAATTTTATTTCTTTTTAACCTTTAGTTACTCTTTTACGCTTTTATGCTTGTAGTTGTATCCGATCCGTATATGTCGTTAATGTTTTGAGTCGCCTGCGCTGCATTAGCACGTCGTAGATCGTGTTTAGAAATTGCACTAATTTTAACATTCCAATCCAAGTTTGAAAACAAAGCGAATGCAAAATTAATGAATGAGAAAACAAATGAACATCGCTACAATTTCAAATTATGAAACTTAAGCTGTTCTTTGAAAAAAAGGTCCTAACCTGAAATTTAACTAAAAAGACTTATTTCATTTTAAGGTGGCCAGGATATTAGAACAGCAATTTCATACTTTTACCTCTAATGTGCGGGCTACAGGTGTGGATTATGACAATTATCGATTTTATTTCAGCAATCCAAGAGGCAAATACCCAGGTCGTCTCCATCTAATTTGGATAGTCAGACACGAAAGAGAGCTTACTTGGCTGGCGAAATTAGCTAACAGTTGTTTACTTCATCTAAGAAATGCGAATCGACCAGATAGATTGCATTTGGAACTATACATTACGAATACGATAGCAAACACACATACAATAGTAAATGAAAAGGGTGTTACAAGTCTAGCGAGCAAAGATGAAGAAAAAGCTACTCTCTTGACTCCCTGTATTAAGAGGAAGACTGAAAAAAGAATAGATAAGCATGACTATTATAGAATAGCAAAGGAATATCCAATTTTAGGATGTCGGGTAAAAAGTGGAAGGCCATATTGGGATCGCGTTTTTGGATATTGGGCGCACTTGTATCCAGAGTAAGTGCTTTCTTTATAATAAAATAGTAGTTTGTAAAATTTTACACATATAACTTGTGAAAGAATTCGTCCAGGGAAGAATTCTGTCATATTTCTGCCACCAAGCAGTAATGTAAGTTTTACTGCGTTCTGGTTTTGAAGGGTGCTCTTGAAATTACAGGCACATGGGACTTGTTGTGTCTCAGGGTGACGGGCTCAGCGACATTATTACAAAAAAGTATTACAGCTCCGTATTATAAAAAAAAAAATATCTCGTTAATTGTTTATAAGTTTTTATTATAGAAATCTAAAGAACGCCTAAAGAAACCATTTTTAGGGTAGTTTGTTCTACTAAATTTACATGAGTAGGCTTTCTTTGTCTTTTAATTTGTATTATTTTAATTTCAGAGAGCATCTCAAATTATTTTGCTGTGGACCAAAGAAATTAGTGAAATTACTTAGAAGTAAATGCAAAAATATCTCAAGAACCACAAAGACCAAGTTAACATTAGTTCATGAAGCTTTCTCGTAAAATGCAACCCTTAATAGAACATAGTCTGTAACTGCATGTATAATTTATAAACACGAACGTGATAGTTATCCACTTCTTAGAAAAATGAAAATATTAAATTTACTGGAACTCAAATGGTTTACTTTGACCTTCCTTATATTAATTTATCAAACAATTTGCAAAGAACTTTATAACAGTATTCGTACAGTATAAGATTGTTGGTTCTCTTTGACATTGAAAACTTTTTGCCAGACACGTATTTGATATTGATTTTAACTAAGACGTCTGTGATAATATTACTGTAGACGACTTAATTATGTTAATAAAATAAAAGGTATCGAAAAGACAAATGATGCCTACCTAACCTAAAGTTGGTAAAATGTACCAGAATCTCATGGCACTAAATAAGAGAAAAATCTGAAGCGTGGCCGAGTAGATGAACGTTCGGCCTGATTAATGCACTTACGAAAATTGGCACGAAAATTCTACTTATTACATTCAGTTTTGATTAAATAATTTTGTAACACGAAATAATAACGATAATTATTAATATAATATAATATAAAATATTAATTTTCACGTTTATAATTAAAATTTATAACACAGGAAGAAAGTAATTTTATTGTTTATTACACAAAAGTTTGATTGTTGGCTGATTAAACATGTAATAACTTTGTTTGGTTTGCAAATAATAAGTAGGTAGGTTCTTAGTTGATTTTGTTAGCGTTTTTTTTGTCATGAGTAAACTTAAAATAACGATAATAATGATTACAATTTTGTGAGTGACCTTTATGATCTCTTAGAAAAATAATGTTGTTCCTTTGATCTATTCTAAAATAAATCTATAAAGAAGTGCAAATAGCGCTTTCACGAATTTCTGTATAGTAGGTTCAACATTAACTACCTCTGTGGCCAAACGGTTGTCATGATGGAGTGCCATGCAGAGGTCCTGGGTTCGATTCCCAGGCCGGGAAAAATATGTGTATGGCCTACGTTTATTTCTCTCGTGAGTTTGGGTGTAATTTGTGGTTATCTATGTGTGTGTCCATGGCACACACATAGACACCCGCGATACAGGATTTCCCTAGTGCGGGGCTTTGAGCGTGTTGCGTTATTATTATCAAAATTTACATAATAATTTACGTTGTTTTTTTATATTTCTTCCTCCTGTTTTTGGGCTATTCGATATTCGGCCAAAAAAACAGACCGAAAAAGCCGAATACCGAATATTTGTTGCAACTCTAATCGATGTTGTCCACTACAAATTTTAATTTGCTTAAGTGCCATTAGATTGTTCTAAATATAATTAGTAATATTAAGCTGAGATTGGTAAATAAAATTACATACAGTTCTATTTTTCTATTTGAACGAAATAAGTAGGTACTTATCAGTAGAAATTCGAAAGTCGTCGCTCTACAAACTAAATCCATGGCTAAAATTTGATAGTATGTTATTGCAGTAGTTCAGCAAACTCGAATTATATAATAATAGCAGACATTGTATTGTCTTCATGGAAGTAACCTTAGTTCTTTTTGCAATCATGTTCATTTGCAAAATGGTCATCACAATGTTCAGTTATTTCGTGGAGCGAGAGAATTTTTTTGAGTTTAATTTAATGTATCTTATGTTAGTTGGCTTATGGCCTGACGAGAATTGGTCGAAAATTCAATATAATCTCTATAAAATATACGAGATCTTTATACACTTACAAACTGTCTTGTTTCTGGTGATAACTGGAATTGGGATAATAGAACATAAGAATGGCGGAGTTACTTTGCTTTTGTCAAACTTAGATAAATCTCTCGTTGCGTACCATTTTGCCATCAAAGCATTTTTTTTTACAGCACACCGTAATCGCTTAAGAGCTCTAATAAATGATATCCTTCATTCGGGGGATACAGTTTCTAAAGATCGAAGGCAATTGATGATAATTCTTGTTATATTTGTCACGGTAATGTGTCTGTCAGTTGTCGGAACTTTTTGTATAGTGGCTCAATTGGAGTTTGAGATGCCTGTGGAAGCGTGGATGCCTTTTGACCCTTTGAAGAGTCAAATGCACCTAGCCTTAGCAGCTCAGATCCTGACAGTATTGTTGTCTCCGTGTATGTGCCGAGCACTAGCTATGCAAGGTATAGTCTGTAGTCTCACGATGTACATATGCGATCAGTTGATAGAATTACAACAAAGATTGAGGGATTTGACGTACAGTCAGGAAAACGAGAACTCGATGAGGCAAGAATTTCATGCGATCGTGAAAAAACACATCCGTATGATGGGGTGAGTAATTCTATGCTTTGCTTTGAATTTTAGTAGCCGTGGACCTCATTGTGAAAGATTTCGTACAGGGAAGGACTGAGTGAGTGGTGAAACTATAGGCTCATGGTACTTGTCAACTTATATCTGAGAGTGACGTGCGCTGTGGCGGGATCCCTCACATCTTTATGATTTAAAGCTCAGAGCAGCACTGCAATTGTTATGGACAGGCGTGTCGCTTATCACCCGGCGCACGACTTGTACGTCCTGTCACTTGGTACTAATAAAAAAATCGATTTGTAAAATTGCAGATATTCGAAGTCTATGAACGACGTGTTCACAGAGTTCTTTTTGGTACAGAACCTTGCAGTTACTGTAGAATTATGCTTGAATGCGATAATGTTTACATTGGTAAGTATCTACTACCACGGAGTAGGAGTGTTAATGCATATGTAGCTACTGGATGTAGAACTATGTATGGGGTTGCAAAAATGGTTTCAGAATTACAATGAACTATACGAAATTTCAGGTGCAGGAAAAGAAAATTCTGGCTCCGTTCTTGGGTTTCTTGCTGCTAGCTTTACTTAACGCTTACATTTTTTGTTACTTAGGAAATGAATTAATTATACAAGTAAGTATATAAGTAAATAAATGCACGAGAGACGAGAGAAGTAAAGGATGTAGTGATACTGATTTCTATTTAGTGTTGTTACTTCGATATGACGTCAATAGATGACGTTGACCAGTTTAAGTTAATTTCTAAACGATATCTAAAATTTGGCTTGGAATCTTATGGTGTACAAAGCCTTCTGAAGAATTTACGCGTACAGTCAAGAGCACACCAAGTTTGACAGTTTAAACGGCCCATTCACTACCTGCATGGCAGTCCGCCGCGCAGGCAGGAGACTGCTCACACATCACCCTGCATATGGCCCACGTATGGAGTCTTGCAAGACGCATTACAAGATTGCAGGGTGGCTTGTACGCTTACGACTACGTTCATAACCCTGCATTACGCGGCGCATGGCAAGGCGGACTGTAATGCAGGATAATGAATACCCCCTTTTTAGACTAATGAATTATTCTTAAAAATATAACATTGACTTACAATTATATGGACGTCGGGTCCGCGCTAAAAAGTGTCCGCACTTGTAAGGCGCTAAAATCGTATACAGAGCGCCAAACTCCGCTTTAGTCTTCATTTGTTCGACTGACAGCGCGATACTGCGATGACATTACAATTTAAATTTCGAATAGGTTGACTTGGGACATGTTTTTCGTGGTTTTTGTATTAGACCCGTCGTCCATTTATTTGTAAGTCAATGAAATATAATATGAATTTTTACCAACCGGGCATTCCGTTTCACCTTTTTTTTTGTAAAAGTGCCTAATAGACCAAAGAGAATTTAAGCACTACGTTTAGTTTTTTTTAGGTACTTTTTATGACGTTTTTAATTAACGTTTGCTTTCCTGCATATACTTACTTATTAAATTTTATATTTAGGTTTATTATAATTGTAAGATGTTTGAGAATAATGTTTACTTCGTAGGTATTCACTTCAGCAACAGATTGCAACAATGTGTTCTTTTAACAATCTAATACTTCACTACTTCTCACAAGGCTCTCTTTTTCTTTACTTAGGACACACTTCCTAAAAATATCTATTGTTATTTATATAATATCTAATTTATCTAGAGTGAAAGCATAGCTTTGGCAGCGTATGACACTTCTTGGATCTCGTGGCCGGTAGACTTGCAAAAGGATCTGCTAATCCTCATAAGGGTGGCTCAAAGGCCTTACCAGCTGAGTGCAGGGGGCATAACGATGATGTGTATTCAAACATTCAGTCAAGTTAGTTTTTTTTCTCTTTATTATTTCTTGTGCGTACCTATCCCATCATAACTTTAACCGCCCTGAATAACGTCAAGAAAAGCCGACGTCACCAGGATTATTTGTAGTGACAAGCTCTGTATTTTAATCGAAACTGACACTTTTAATAATTCTTCTGATTTTACTTTTATACAAAAATAAAAATATTTGAGTTGGCTCTAAATGGTGATAATTCTGTGCAGTAGCAAAAGAAAGCACGCGGCAACTTACTACCAACAACCAACTAAATAAAAAAATATTCATAACAATATTTAACTGCCTCTGCGGCCGAACGGTTGCCATGACTGTCACGCAGAAGTGCCAGGTTCGATTCCCGGGCCGGGAGAAATATTTGTATGGCCTACATTTATTTCTCTCATAAGTTTGAGTGTAATTTGTGGTTGCCTATGTGTGTGTTCATGGCACCCGCGACACAGGGTTTCCCTAGTGCGGGGCCATGTTGAGTGTGTGCGTTATTATTATTATTCAATTAAAAAAACACATTATATTTTACATAATTGAATAAATATATTTTTTAAACTGAATAAATATAAAATACAGTTCTTAAAAGTGTCAGATAGTACAACAAAAACTTACTAACTTAAACTAATTCACTTTTTTGGTAAATTCTTTGTAAGTCAATGGTAAATTCATACTTTGTTGGTTGTTGTTTATTTTTATGTTGTCAGTAATGTAATCCTGTGAAATCGTCAGTGTTTTACAAATAACCCTGTATGAATTATACTGTATTTCCTCTGCTTAAAGGTATAACCACATAAATATAAAGTGACATTTCCCACAAAAAATCTTCAAATTATGTACCAGTTGTAAGAAATTCACCATCTTTCTGGAGATAAAACTCTTAAGTTTATAGTTTTTTTTTATTGAGTTTCGTGTTACGTGCAGAAAGATAGTAATTTTCTTACCATTAGCTATACAAATTAAAGAGTTTTTGTGGAAAATGTCACTTATGTGGTTTTTCCTTTAATGCTTTAAACACATGATTTGATATGTCATTTTTCTTCTTTCAGGCACTGTACAACGGGTATTCCATTTTTGCAGTTCTTAAGGACGCAGTCAATTAACGAGACTAGCTAAGTGATAAGTAAATTTAAAATCACATGTAAAATTTAATGTAAACTATTACAATTAAGTATATAGTAAGTATACCTAGCAAACCTACGGGTCGACATGTTGCCTATCATCGCCATCGCCCTACGCTCTCTCTACCTATAAATCATCCAATGTTATGTGTAGTGTATGTCTTAAATTCAGTGACTCTTTTAAGAGGGGGCCACATAGTGCAAAATCGGGGTCCGTAGCATTTACTACACGCTTTAAACAATAGAAATTCACTCAATCGCGTTGTATTCAGCGCCGGCGCTAGACCATGTAGCTCCCAGGTGCAATCAATACCCTGGCGCCCTCTATAGTCTGTCTCTTTTGAAGATGGAGTAAAATGACATTTCATTACGCAAAAATGTTCCCCTCTTGCAAGCAGCTAGTGGTGGCGATCGATAAATATTCTCTCGACTATTGACTGAATGTTGGTCACGCTTATGCAATAAATAGCTAAACTTGTTTCATTTTAATCATCATCGGTATATTATTCATCCAACTGCTAGAACCGGTTGGAAAGGTTCACTCCAGGGCTCTGTTTTGAGTCCAATACTGTTCAACATTTATACGTTCGATCTGGAAAGCTCCATCAGCAGGTACTTAAGTGTCCTGCAATATGCGGACGACCTACTGATGTACGTCTCCGGGCGATGCATTCGATCAGCGACAATCTTACCGAGCTATCCAGCTTACGTATTTGGCTGTAAAAATAATGGCCTAGATCTATCCCCATCCAAAAGCTCAGTTATTCTATTCTCAAGGAAGCGGATACCTCCGTCCCTTCCTCTCTCCTGACCTCCTGTCATAAATGTTAAATATGGCGATAGGTCCCTCCCAGCTAAGAACCAAGCAAAATTTCTAGGAGTAATGGAGTAATGGACTCAAAACACTAGGGAGTGTCGTACTGTGACTACATTTTGGCGAAATACGAACGCAATCTGAATATTCTAAGATGGCGTCTATGGCGTCTGGTGGGGTGCCCACCCACTTACCATGAGACTCTTGTATAACGCCCTAATAAGGAGCGTCCTGGACCACAGAACCTTTTTGCTACAATCTGGCAATTTAGAAGCCTTAAAAAAGCTAGAGAACATACAATTAACAGCACTCAGAATAATCACGGGGGCAATGAAATCCAGTCCAATAATATGCCTACAAGTTGAATGCTGCGATCCACCTCTTAATTTAAGAAGACAATATCTAAGTGATATGTTCTTTTTCCGTATTTTACAAACAAAATATCTATTGAATAAAGTCCAGCATTTTGCTGGGGTAGCAGGCTCTTTCAGTTATTGGAGACATAAAGAGGAACCCTGTCTTGTAAAAAGCTTTAAGAAGTTCAAGAACATTGAAACTAACAACTACCAGTCAAACCGCCTTCCCCTCTTTGAATATAATTACAACTTCCTCGTTACCAAGTCAATAGAAAATAGTCTGGGAATAAGGAAGGACGACCTCACTCAGAACGCTGAATTTAATAACAAAATCAATAATTAATGGCCGGATTGGCACTACATCTACACAGACGCCTCAAAGCATACGGACAACTCTTGTGTCGGCGTGGGAGTCTACCATTCATAATACAAAATAATTCGAAAAGTTTATTTACCTCCGAGTCCTCGGTGCACACAGGTGAATGCTTCGGCATACTGCAAGCAATTGAATATGTGATTGTAATGAGACTGTCAAAAGCAATAATATTCAGCGATTCAAGCAGCGTTCTACAGGCCCTAACGTGATTTCCCTTTAATAGTCTTAAACAAGCGCCTATTATTTTTGAAACCAGAAATCTCCTCTTCAAATGCTCGGCTCAGGGCTTCTCTGTCGCTCTTGCCTGGATCACGAGTCACACGGGCATCTCTGGCAATGAGATAGCTGACAGGCTGGCAAACGAAGTTGTTCAGGATGGGGACGTCGACCTTTACGCGAAGTATAGCTATCACCTGGTAAACCTACCGAAACGATATCTATACGACGCATGGAAAAAAAAGGCTGGATGACAGATACCTTCATGGGAAGCACTACCGCTTGATTCATGAGTTTATCCCTCGGAAGCCATGGTTCAGCAAGATTCAATTTGCCAAAAAACTACCTCCACTAATTGTAGGCTACGATTTGGTCACGTGACAACTACAGCGCGTCTATTCAAACTCAAAATTGTTTCTGACCCTGCATGCTCATGTGGGGCCTATGGGGATCTAAACCATATCTTCTTCTCCTGCCACTAAATTGAACATGAGACTTTCATGTCCGAACTCCTGGCAATCAGTGTCCCACTCCCCACCTAGATAACAAGTTTACTATATTTATGCAACACAGATGTTTATAATGTACTGGCCTCATTTATCGAAAATAATAATATCAAGCACAAGACACTAATTGTACTTCTGTGACATTTGTCGCACTTAGCAAACTGCAGTGCCTCATTTTCTGAAAATTGGCTCCGATAGTTCAGGATGTATTAGGACGGAGTATGCAGGAAAATGGTTTAACTCTAGTAAAACACATTTCAAGAAAGTTGATAGAAATTCACAAGTACACAATGGATCTTTGGGCATTTCAATGCCTTGTTTCAACAATGTGGACGATATTTCGAGCACAAAACAGCTCACCAAAAATAAATTAATAGTGAAATAATTCGCTCTAAAGAAATTGGAACGTTCTAGTCTTATATAAATTCGTATTACCGAGCTACTAAGGAATTTATTCTATTTATTTATTTTTCATAAAACAAAATTTTTTTTCTGTTTGTACCTCTTTGTGTTACTGTAGGTACCTGCTATAGCCACTATATTATGTAGAAGTAGAGTTTGAGTTAAAAGATCATTCAGTATAATTTTTTTCTTCATCCTCTAAGGTAGAGTTTTTTTCCATCTTCTAAGGGTAGAGTACAAGAAGCTATGCATGTTTCCTGGCAAAAGCTCGTGGCAAAGATCTTAGACTATGTTTTCCATTCTCTAAGCAAAATATTGATAAAAAAGACAAAAAGCCTGTTTGCAATGCCCGTTGTATTGACATTCTGCAGAAAACAAAAATCGAAACTGACACTGGCCCAAGCCTAGTGGCCGCCATTAAGGACATAGAATAGAATAGAAAACAAAAATTTACTTAGATGGCTGTCAAAAAATTTCGGTGAAGTAATGAAAAATATTCAAAATATAGTGTAAAATATTTAAATACATGGCGCCAAAAGCAAGTAATGTTAAGTACCAAGGATGGAAAAGTAAGACATTAACAACAAAACCGAAAACGAAAGCGGTACGTTACTCATCTTTACATTGTTTTATAACGGTTTTATACATATTGACTGTCGTTCATAGGGGTATTTTCATATCCATAAGATAGCGTTTAGCGATTTCATGCACATACTAATAGGTGAACTTAAATGTTTACGATCGTACTACCAAGTAGGAAGCGTATCAAAGTTATACTATACCTGCAGGGCTAGCATGACAGGGCGCGACTTGCGCGAGATACTGCTATTCTCGCATAGAGAATAGTAATATCTCGCGCTTCTCACCGTGCTAGTCCTAGAGTTTGCATAGACCAAAACGCTACAGGTAGGTACTGTCTAATCTGTAACAGTTATGCAAGCCTGCAAAATTGTTGTTTGATGCGAGTGCTTGTATTGAAACCTGAGTAAGCTAGCGAATAAGCGAAGGAAGCTTTGATTGAACCACGAGCGAAGCAAGTGATTCAAAAATAGATTCCTGAATGTAGTGAAGATTTCAAGACACGAGGCGCGAAACAACTTAGCTGTTGAGCGAAACACACAATTTTTCACCTCAATATAGCGATGAAAATGGTAGATGAAAGAAAATCAGGTGCAAGTTTATCTTCAGATGCGTTCTGAATTTCTATGTCGTCACGTTTTATTATCGTTGGACGACTGTCGTGTCTAGCCTGTTCCCACTAGATCGTGACGACAATAGGAGCCGCGACAATCTGTCGTCACTTTTTATCGTGACGTTTTTTTATCTTAGACGACTGTCGTTCTAGCTGTTCCCACTGTGACGACAGTTTGTCGTTGTAACGATAAAAAAATCGTGAACGACAGTTAATCGTGTCGTGCTATATGTGAACAACTTAATTTAAATATACAATCCACGACACTGTAAACTGCACGACAATCTGTCGCGACATGTCGTCACGACATAGTGGGATCGCGCCCTTAGGTGCACCACAGTCCATCGTCAAGTTTGAATTTCAAAAACCGTTTCCACGCTAGCGTGCAGAAACTGCTTGTGCGCATAGATTTCTAATGAGAAAGAAAGCCTTTACAAGCTAGTGTGGTGAAAAATCATCAATTCTTTTTGTGGGTAACCATAGAATGAAATCGTTAATCAACATCAAAATTTGTTTTGTATGGTAAAAAAAGCTTTTAAATAAAGTTGTTTGTCCATACGTCACTAAATAGTATTTTCTACTTTTCAGGAAAAGTCAAAAAATATCGCTCAATACTTGAGAATAAAATGTCCAATATGTTTCGAGAATATAAATAAAGAAGCAGTGTCTTCAACGAAGTGTGGGCACGTATTCTGTACGACGTGTTTGAAGAAGGCTTTACGGAGAATGCCAGTGTGCCCCACGTGTCGCACAAAGTTGAAGTATATCTCTGGGCATCACACTTTATTCCTAGATAGTAATCTCTGCGAAGAAGTGGAGATTCCGAGTGAAATTACAGCGGTCGACATAATTCCAGCTGCTGCTGCAGTTGATAAAGTTACTACGCTTAAAACTTAATAATTTAAGATAGAACTAATAAACGAAATATAATGCTGTATCGTTCTGATAGCGGTTTCGTATGTATACTTAACAACCTGTGTTACGAGCCGCAGTAATATCATCGGAAATCTTAACTTTTTTGATAAATTAATATAGGTACATGTAATGCTATATGCACAGAACAATGTCACGTTAAGTACTTTCTTTTGTAACGTTGTAGCGGGCTTCTAAATCACTGTAAAAATTCGTATGTCATTGTTAACATGTAAGCGTTGCTAAAGCTTTTAATTATACATTTAAATTAATGTGCTGTGTGATTCGGTGCTTGTTATTAACCGACTTCAAAAAAGGAGGAGGTTCTTCAATTCACCTCTAAGGGTGACAAACTACGGGATGAATCCGGTTTCGCGCATTTTCCGGTAACAGATTTCAACAGAACTTGGCAAATAGGTGTAATTCCACGAACTTTTCAGGTCGGTTTTATGCAAATTGTACATAAAGCCGATTTCTCATATTGTATTTCTAAGTATGGCGTCTATTTCTACACTTGGAGCAATGCACCCGGCGTATTTTATACGCGGCGACAACGCTCGGATACTCGCTATAAACGGTGGTCAACTGCGCGTAGGCAAGTTTTAAAAAGATAGTACAAACAAAATTAGATAAAACATAGTTTTTATTATAGTTTTGTTTGTTAATTTGCAACAACATCGCGATGTTGTTGCAAATTATGTGTGCTCGCGTTTGAATCGATTCACTACGGCGCGGCGCCGTAAACGCGTGTTAGTGGAATGTGTGTCGTCCCTCGGTGCGTATAAAAGACGCCGTGTACGTACATACATAGGCTCTTAAAGTTTCTGCATCTTTCTGATTCTTACTTTATTTCCAAATAAACATGATACAATCACTGCTACCGGAAACGCCGTTCAATCCGATTTTATAGTTGCCCAATGATCGCTGTACTTGCCTATAAAATCCTTAATTTAAAATAGGTATTCATTTATCCATTTGAGCAGGGTGATCATGTTAATAAATCATTGTGATGAGAATTGGATGAAAATACTCACGGCCATAGCTAGTAAAATGTGGCAACTTTATAAGTGACGTTCAACGGTTGGGATTCGCTCTGGACCATTTGGAGGGAAAAGTGTCGTTTTTATTTTGACTTTTAATTATTTTGTGAAATCTAGTTTAAAGTGGAATAGGATAGTGCTATTGTGCCTTAATCGAAGATTAAAACGCGAAATCATACGATTCTCGAATTAAAATACCCTTATCGGCCCGTTTTAAGGAATCCCGAGTCAATCCAAGCACGCCACAAATTGCCTATCCTCTTTGTGGCGGCCATTAAACTTCATGTTTAGGCTAATGGCTTTGCCAAAGCCTTAATAAATTAAAAAAAAATATCAACGGTTGGTTTGGCTATGTTGGTATTCCGTCACATTTTTTTTATTAATAGTTTTGGCTTCGATATAAGTCCTTTGAGCCATGTCTTCGTTTAATTATCGGTATCCTCAGTAATATTTGCCATTGTAGTTCTAAGTTATACTAATACTTTTCACTTTCTTTTAAATCACTTAGTTCACTTATTTGGGTTTATTAAATAGACCTTTTAAGCGGCGGGAGTCAATATTTATGTTTTACTTTCACATAGATCCCATTATCATCTATCACTTGTGGTAGTGGAATTCTCAGGATACTCTTTTCTAATTTGGTTTAAAATAAGGACTATAGTTCTAACTTTCTTCATCACTATTTCTTTCTTCGTTTTTTCTTCATAATATACTTAAAATAAAAATAATTTTTGTAAATTCTTTACTTGTAACTTCAAAAACTGTAATAGAAAAAAAAGCCATCTGTGAGACCTATTCTGTCATAGTTGTGTCAATTAGTACAGGGATGGACAACTGACAAAATATATCGTTTCGATGTTTACAAACAATATCGATATCTATTGAAAGAAATATATCGATATTTTTCCCAAAGCCAGTAGTAACTTACGATTTTCACAAATTATGCCTATTTATTTATTAAGTATATGTATAAAATAAAATTCGGAAGATTAAAGACACGTGTCTAAGTAATAGAAAATTTTATTAAAGAAAGATCAGGTGAAAAGTACAATCGTGGTCGTCTGCTGCAAAATATCGAAGGAAAAGAGTTAAATGAGCTAAGAGGCTCCACTAAGTCTACCAATTGTTAGCGAATGATTTTTTTACATTTTGAATAGCTACACATACCTATTTATTTTATTCCACAAAACGACGCTTAGCAAACTATGAAATGGATATTGTTTGCAAATATTAATATAGCACTTGATTATGCTGCTTGATTAGGAAATTGATACTCGAAAAAAAAAAATCGATTGTTGATATATCGAAAAAAAAAATCGACGAATATTTAATGAAATCATTTCGATATTTTATACAACCCTAAATCAGTAGACTGACAAGTGACAGCTCACCAGTTTATTGTATTTAGGCTGACTTTGTTGAGCAAGTCAGAGCAAGTGACCAGTGTAGCGCGGGGTACTTGTTAGCAGCACAAAACAGAAAGTCATATTAAATGACCAAGGTATATTATAGTACTTTGTGAAATCAAGCGAAAAACTCGATACTAGCGAAATCCCAAGAAAAAATTAGCAGTAATTTTATAGCAAATACATTGCAAGCAAAGTAATCCGAGATAAATATTTTCTTGTGTAGAAAAAACGCAATATTTCGTGAAAATGAGCATGAAATTGGACATAAGTACAACAGATACGTATCAAAAATTATTTACGAAGCTTGATAATTCTGATGTTACGTATCAGAACTTCGTAAAGAGACTCGCCAAGTACCATCTTCAGGTGAAGGCTATAATTCAGGTAAGGATCTCTATGTCTTTAATATTTTTTCTTCACATCTACCATTTGAAAAAAAGAGAAGTCAGCATGCATACACTACCCAAGTGTCTGTTAGTGCCTGCTTAGTCAATTTCGTTATTCTTTTTGCTATAGTTGTTAGGTCTTAAACTTTAGGATATTGTTATTTTTTAATAATTTCAGGACATTTTAGAATGCAGGGAGTCGATGGAAGCGTTAAATGAATTGAACGAGAAGGGACGGGCAAAGATAGCACAATTAAGAGAGGAGATGGAGAATCTAGAGGTGTACGGCCGCGAGAGTGGTGATGATAAGTACATGGTGGAGCTGGAATCACAGAGGCATATGCTTGGAGGGTGAGTTGGACCAATTTGAGAATTGAACTTTTGGGTGTTATGGGTAGTACAGGGAATTCCCTGGTTTGAGACCAGTTAGTTAATTGGTTAACGTCAAAAAAGACATGACAGTACAACATTTGTAGTCATTATATTTAGTATTTTTCTTTTTTGCTCTTTCTTTGTTATTGTCTTATTTTGTTTAATTTCAATTTTGTTAATTACGTCTTTTTGTTTTGTTTTGCTTGTCTAAGTGGTATCAATATTTTTTTTTGTATCTGTGTGTTGTGGCGTTGCAATAAATGTCTATTCTATTCTATTTTAAAAAAGTCAATGGATCTCAATTGGAGAGAAGGAGCTAGTCCTCCATGCTGGCTTGTGGGTTGGGGATTTTGTACATTGTTGAGCATAGTTGTAGTTCATTCTCATCATTTTTCATTACAGTTTTTTTTCACAATTAAAGTAGGCAATAATTTGGTAACATGCACGTAATTCAGAAAGATTACTGGCAAAAATCCTTTTGTTACAATTCAAAGCCAGGTCTTCCTTCATAAGAGGCAATCATCTCCCAACTAGGCAATCCCTGTGGATTTTTGAATGTGTGTGTGGCTTCTTAGTTGCAACCTTTGCTGATTTTTCAGACTTTTAAAAGAGTTCCGAGATGCAAACATTAGTAGTTTGTTTGCTATAGAGAAACAACAAAGAGAAGAGTTGATGAAACCACAAGATGGTGAGGAATCCGTTGTCAGAAATAGGAATAAGAAAGTTGATAGAGATGGGCTGCTTAAAATGTCTTCAGGTTAGTATTTTATAATTAATATTATCAAACAAAAAAGCAGTGGAGCTCCTAGTGGAAGACTTTGTCCAGGGAAGTACTTGCCACCTTACCTATTACTGCTTCCAAGCAGTCATGTGACTAACAATACGTTCCAGTTTATTGGAGTGTAGCTTACTAACAGGCACACAACTTCTTCGTTCCGTCACTAAGTTTAAAAAAAAAACTTTAAAAAATACGCCTCTTCTTATCAAATGTGGTGAAAGGATTTGCTAATTGATTTGGTAATTCTTTTTAAAGTTTATAAGAATTTTAAGATTTTGGTGAAGTTTTTTATAATTAAAAAAAAAAATGGTGAACCAAAACAGCTGTGGGTTGTGTTAAAGACACTGTGTGACTCTAATATGCCGCAGTACCAAAATCATTAGGGACGGGGATTAATAGTGATATATTAATTTTTTGTTTAATCATGCAGGTTTTCACAACATTGTCCTTAACAAAAAATGCAAATTATGCATTAAAAAAAAAGTAAACAAAGTAGTGACTGGTTAAACAATAAGATATTAATTACTATTATTACTTTGTTTTTAAATTTAACTACCTCCATGGTTGAAGAGTTACCAGTCTGGACTGCCATGCAGAAGTCCCGGGTTCGATTCCTGGGAGAAATATTTGTGTGGCCTACATTTGTTTCTCCTGTGAGTTTGGGTGTGATTAGTGGTTGTCTATGTGCGTGTCCATGGCACACGCGAAACAGGATTTCTCTAGTGCGGGGCTATGAGTGTGTGTGTTATTATTATGATTATTATTGCATTGAGATTAAATAAATAAAATCAAAGGCACTATTTCACACTCAATACAATTTAATAACAATTAATGAACCTATCAAGTGAGTCTATGAATCCTCTATAGAAGACTGGAGTATATAACCCTCTTTTTGTAACCTGTAATGACTGAGAACATAATCTCACTACAAAGTACTAAAAAAAACCTGACCACAAAAGTTCCTCAAAGTGACCTCAAAGTGGAATACATTTATTTGCCTAGTTTTTTTTAAATCGGTTAACGGAAAGTGCGCAAAACCGGATTCATTCCTTAGTTTGTCACCCTTAGTGGTGGAATATTTTCTTGAAACTTAAATGGGACCACTACTGAGGTAACTTCTTTCCAAAAAAAAAAAAAAAGAATCGTCAAAATCGGTTCACAAATTATCGCGTAACATACATACAAAAAAAAAACAAACAGTCGAATTGAGGACCTCCTCCTTTTTTAAGTCGGTTAAGCCAGTTTAGTTGTTGTTTTTGCTCGAGTGTGTTTTACACTCATTACACCAGACCAAAAACGACAACTAAAATTGAGGCCTGAATATTTTCGTCCAAATGTGACAATAATTAAAAACCATATATTAATATGATATTTAAATTATAAATTTTGGTTTTAGGTGTGACAGAACAGTTACTATCCATTAGTAGACAATTGGCAGATACAACACAGAGGAGCCAAGTTACATTGGACAGTTTAGTGTCGTCCAGCTCTGCAGTACACGTAAGTATTTTTAAGTGAGAATTGTTATTTGTTATGCGAGGTTGCAAAGTTGTTGTTTGACGCGATCTAAGCATGTATTGAAACCTGAGTAAGCGGTGGAAGCAATGGTCGAAAAATAGATTCCTGAGCGTAGCGAGGGTTTCAATACACGAGACGCAAAACAACTTTGCTGCCGAGTGAAACACACAATTTTTCACCTCACTATAGCGAGGAAATAGGTGGATGAAAGAAAAACAGTTGAACTATAAAACATCAGTTTTTTTATTCAAAAGAAAAAGTTTATCTTCGTATGCGTTCTGAATTTACACCGCATCAATTTTTATTCTTGCTTGTACTTTAATTTTGTGTGACTAAGTCATTATTAATTTATTTTAGTTTTTCGACGAATTAAAACAAATTTAATAAACACAGTTAGTTATCATTGTCGATTTAATTTCAATAATAAGTATGAAATATATCAACGGATTTATATTACATAAATAAGTAGGTAATGTATGATAACTTGCGTAGTTGAAAGTGTCATTATCTTTTTCCATCGTCAAGTTCGAATTTCAAAACCTTTTCCACACTAGTGTGCAATAACCACTTTTGCGCGCAGATTACTAATGAGGAAGAAAGCCTTCCCGAGCTAGTGAGGTGAAATTAATTATTAATAATAAAATTGTAATAATAACTGGTGTATTTATCATAGTATATTAATAAATAAATATAAACTGCATTAAGAAGATATGTGATAAGTGTGAACTCCATCTATTTAATAATGATCTAACAGCAAGATAAATTGCTTGCCATTAAATATTATTTATTATGCTATCTGAACGTAAACAAACAGTTTTCTTCAAACAAAAAGTTATCTGTAACGGAGCAAATGGACCTGACTTTAATTTTGATTCCTATAAAAATAAGGGTTAAAGTATAAAATGGCTGTTATAAGAAAATTATAAAAATGAAATTAAATTAAAGTAGGGTTAATTCACCCCACACACGTTATTAGTACATTTCTTCCATCATGCTGGAAGCTCATTTATTCCTTTGCTAGGAATGCGAATCAACTGTTTTGGAACTCATTTTCGACTGTTTCATGGGATTTAACACTCTCAGCGACATGGAACAAACGGTTTTTCTGCTGCAGCAGGCCATGTGGACGGCGCGCAGGACACGCATTTTTTTCACTGCACGCCACGCCTGATCTCGAGCAACTTTTGTAGCAGACCATGTGGGCTGCCGGCGTGACACCTTCAAACTTTACCAGCAGACCGCGCATTACGCCGTGATTCCACCAAAAACAGACGGAATTCACCACTAGGCACGACATCGATACTTGATTACGATCTGGATCAGTTGTAAGAGAAGAGCCAAATAATTGGCTGTGTTCGCCGAACGCAGCCAAATAATTGACTGTGTTCGCCGAACGCACAACTTATATTGTCAGCCTGCTGATGCAACCTTTGACTGGTCAGGACAAAAATCGAAAATAAATTTTAATTCCTATTTGTATTCCTATTCCTATTTTTTCGGCCGGCCACGTGGTCTGTTAGGTAAAGTTCGAAAGTACATGGTAGCCTGTTACAGTTCAATTTTTGAGGGCGGCCGGCGGCCCACCTGGCGCTGAGAGTGATAAATACAACTGACTGACTATAATGTTACCTCAGTTTAGATATAATTTTAGATACAATTTTTTTTTAAATATCAAAGTGTTATAATTATTAATACAAAGATCGAACACTCGGAAAAAACACTCAGAAAAAATTCCTTCGATCCGGTCGGATTCGAACCGACGTCTTCTTGCATACCGTGCCAGACGCTATACCAACTAAGCCACGGAACTTCTGAGTTTTTTCGTTTTTTCGTTTTTTCTGAGTGTTTTTTCCGAGTGTTCGATCTTTGTATTAATAAT